GAGGACAACAGAAGGGGGGTTAGCGAAATGGCTGTGTGTTTTTCTCCCCACATCCACCGCCCGGGATTATACGCTTCCCTTTTTACTCATCTGTACCTTCCGCTTGTTCTTTCACATGTACAGTATCAGAGAGGCACAAGCTCGACCCTGAAACGTTTTGATTTCGCCCATTTGCAGATGAAATCAGCCCGCGATGGGTGCCAGTAGCAGGGATATCCGTCAAGTCAAGCTGCCCCGGGGCCGAACATCCTTTCCTGCAAGGCCCCCATTCCCTTATCTGATTCCAGCAGACGGGGCGAGATGATGGCCATGCCAGCCAGAGCCTTTGATTTTTTTAAGTATATCCCTCTGCTTTCACACTGCTTTATTGATCGCCGACAGACCTCATTTTGTTCCTCTGCTTCGAGAATGCTCTATTTGTAATGTGATCACCCAGATGAGGATGGCAGAGAGGTGGACAGATACTAATCCTCTTTTTTTCTCCCAGTCTCCGGCATCGTCTCTGCTGATTTTCCTGGATCGCCCCCCTGTCAAGTTCCTCGTTGCCTGAGGCCCAGAAGACTCCTCTCTCTCTCTCTCTCCCTGACTCAATGGGGAGGGGGTCAGGGGTATAATCCACGCTTAAGAGTTACTTTCTGTGAACAACAATTGCTCTCATCCGCCCATTTGCGATAGGTTAAAATGAAATTAAACATCAAAAGCGGCGCGGTCAGCGCTTGACTCCGCGGGACCTTTAAGGGGCATTGATTTTCAGCTCATTTGCGAATGTTTTCGACCACAGGCCCGACGTCAGGCGCGCTCATCAACCTCCGTGGACCCGACGCATTCCTCCATGTTGAACAGCGCCGCGCAACAGCACAGAGTCGGGAGCATCTGCCTCCGTCGCTCCACCCAGATGGCAGCAGAAAGTATGTAAATTGGTTCATTAACCTTACAGTGCTTTAACCAGTGGGCCATGCAGAGGGCTCGTTCCATCCGGGTTTTCTTGAATTTTATTAACGCCCATTAATAACATCGGGAAACTTTCGCTAATGGCCTGAGGTGGTTCGCTGCGGTGTTATCAAACACTGTAGTAATTATACATGACATCCCTCTGATTAACACTCCTGTGATTATTACACCATGTCAGATTGTCTTTTTTTTCCCCCCATTTAAAGACCATTTTCTTGGTTTCGAAAAGTAAAAAAAAAAAAAAAGGAAAACATCATCACAGCACTCACCCACCTCCCCCCCTTCCTTCAAATCCCGACAAGCAGGTTTGGATCTTTAACCCCTGACAACAGAATGGCATGAAGAAAAAAGAGGCAGGGGGGTGAAAATGTGAAAGGGATCTGCGTTTTCATACGGCGCTTCCCCCTCCTTCAGCGCTTGCAGAGTGTGTGAAAAATTAGCTTGTAGTGTGTGAGCTGCCAGCAGTGAGGGCTTGCACCTGGAGCAGGGAGGAGCAGGCGAGGAGGCCAAGGGTCACCTCGTGGGCTAAACAGGATTGGAGTTTTCTCCTCTCCCTAAGCAGCCAAGACGACCCCTGTGGCTGCATCGCACAACATGGGCCTTTCACACCCCTGCCTTCCCTTCCCTTGCCTTCCCTTCCATTCCCCTTCTCTCCTTCCTCTCCTGGTCACCTCCTTTTTTTTTTTTTCCTTTTCTCCTCTGGAAAAAAAAGCACAGTAATCCATAACCCACTCAACTATCAGCGGCTCAATTATCCCTCCCGTTCCCCCATTTTCTCCCCTCGGATGGAGATTCAAAAACAATTAACCTCTTCACGGCTGGGGACTTTTCCCAGGAAAGGGCACGGTGGTAATTGAATGACTCCGCCATTTACATTCCTGACCATGACTTCACTCCTTCACGCATAAATCTGGTTACCAAAATCCTAATCTGTGGCTTTGTGATTGTCCAACGCCATTATCACGGATGTTGCATTATCAAGCCACGAAGACAGTATTTTACTCGGAGCGGGATTTAACCGAATAATTTGCCGACGTTTACATAACACTCCGTTGACCTACTTAAAAATCTTAATAGATTTACATCATTTGCGCCCGACGTGTTGACGTGCGAGCGAGGTTTTGGCGAAATGATGCCTCCGCGGAACGTAAAATAATAATTTTCCACGCGCCAATCAAATTTGGTAAACAGCGCCGCTCTGCAAAACTGATCCAACTAGACTATTTCACACCGAGTGTCTAGAAGCTATAGCGCATCCCCCACACATCCTCAGCCTTCAATAAAATGTTCTCTTCTCCCCCTTCGTTATGGAGGGGCCTCCTATTCATCTCCAGGTAGAAAGCCTCAAAGTGTAGGAGGGAAGAACAGCTTGTTGCACCCATTGAGCTTTTTTATTACTTCCCCCTTCAAAGGATGGTGGCAGGAGAAGAGACAACCTCAATCTCCTTGATACCATGATACACAGCTTTCAGAAAACACACACACAAACAAGTGGCGGGATTTCAGCCCAAAGCTCTGCGCAAATTTTACCAGCGCTTGTTCCGTCAAAACATCATATTTGAGAAGATTACATTGTTGTGGATGCGGAGAGAGCCCGATGCAGCTGTTAGGGGGATAATCTCGGAGCAAACAAGTTTATCGAGAAAAAAAAAAAAAAAAAAAACGGACACTGTTGAGAAAAACAACTCGCTAGCCTCGATCGAGTGGAAACAAGCAAAAGATGCGGCGCAACAAAGACCCCGGCCAGCCATTTTCCATAAAGCGAGCTAGCTTATCATAACAGCTAACCCAGCGGAAGCCAAATGATGTAATCCCTAACCAACACACATCGACAAAACAAAGACTTGCACTGAAGGAAATCACTGTTGAACACGAATTCGTCCAAGAAACACACACACACCGAAGCTTTTTCACCAACTCACACCCCTAATTCGTGCTTCCTATTGACTTGACTTCCAACCAACGCGTCACAGCCGAAATGCGACAAGAGCTGACGACCTCATTGAAAACCTTCAGCGGAAAATGGAATCGTCGAGCAGGAATTATTATTCTACGTTTGTTGTCGTCGAAACTCGAAAGGTTTAACTCCTGTTCATTACTGATGTTGTTCCACGGACCCGTAATCCTTTCCAACAAGATCAGGACTAAAGGTTTTAATACCAACAAGACAGCTCACCAACAAGAACAACACCAAGCGTCAGAGTCTCCGCCGTGCCGTACCGAAAAATTGATAAAACAGCAGTGATGTTACACAATTAATGCTTTCAAAAGAAGAAACGCCAGTTGTACGAACTCAACAGAAAAGAATCGACGGCAGGCATCGTGCAGATTCTTGTAGATGCTCGCCAGAACAACATCGCTGGAATCTCACACACACACACACACACACAATGGAAGACAGAAGAAGTCTTTGATGTTTCCTCATGAGTGTGTGTATTGCAGCTTTGTGAGTCACCCACACTCCATCCAAGATCCATATAGGCTACACAGCGACAGTAGCACAGTAGCAATGAAACCCTCGTACCACACACACACACATAAAGACGCAAAGTCACAAACAACATAGCGTGTCTTGGTTGAGGAGTGAAGGAAAAAGAGGCCGAGGCACGGGCAGGGCCAGCCGGGCCAGCAGGAGGACGCACAAAAAAAAAAGAAAAGAAGAAGAAGGGAGGAGGAGGAGGAGGAGGAGGAGAAGAAAACCTAAAACAACTGGCTGTGCTCCAGACAGACTGGAACTTCTCTTGATCATTATGTCTAGCCTTCAGGTGTCTGGGGTCGGGCCGACTGTAGGCAATAGTTAGGTGGAGGGAGGTGGGAGGATGAGGGAGACGATGAAGGTGGTGGAGGAGGAGGAGGAGGAGGGGGGGGTGAGTGTAGATAACACAGCAGCCAGACAAAGAGGGAATAAGAGGGTTGCCTACATACCACCAGCATCAAGGCAGGGAGGGTGGGAGGCAGGGGACGGGGAGAAGAAAAGAGGAGGGTTATAAAAATTTGATTAGACGATCCTTCGCTGAAGTGACTTTCTGTGTCGGTTTGCTTTTCTTTCTGTTCTTTTTTTTTTTTTTTTTTGCCAGTTCCCCTCCCTTCTCCAGAGCGCTGCTGCTGCTTCAGAGAACGGGGCAGACAGATTTTATAGGTCCTAATTAAAGCCATCTGAAGCCTTTCAAAACATCAAATGGCCCTGGTCCCACCACCACCACCACCACTTTTTTTTTTTTTTCCTCCTCCTCTGATTGTGTACAGAAAATCAGAGGGCACTCTTTTTTTTTTTTCCCCCAAATGTACATAAACGTTGCACCCCTCTCCACCTCTCCCTTGACCCCTGCAACCCTCTAATTTCCAATCAATAACAGGGTTCAGTGAGTGACATGACCTCATGGGAGGGAGTGGGGGGGGAGGTATTCAATTGACAGGAATGTGACAGAAATAGATGTTTGACATTTCTCATAAAAAATGATGCAATAATTCTGTTTGAAATAACACATAGTGAAGATCCACCCTGAGCCTGCCTGGCGGGTTGAAGTGAAGTGCAGCCCTGTTTTAGTGCGCTTCAAGTACTCCATTTATTTCTTCTCCTGTCTCTCTCTCTCTCTCTCTCTCCCTCCTCCCTAATTGTCCTCATTGAGCCGTGTGGACCGGTTGCACAGCCTGCCTGCCTGCCTGCCTGCCTGAGGTCAGCGGGTTTACCGTGTGCTTTTTATCTATATTTCATGCTATGGCGCTGCGCGGAGACAGCCACACATTCACAATGAGGCAAACATTCTCAGAGACGCACAAAGAATGTCGACAGGAGGAAGAGAGAGAGAGAAAAGAAGCACCATTCAAGCATCAAGTGAAGTCTGTTTAAAAGCATGTCACGCCAAAATGTTTAATTCTTCTTTGAATGGAAACTAGAAGAAGAAGAAGAGGACAGAAAGCACACGGCGCAAAAGTGACACATGCGTAAATGCGTTTAAAATAAGACGGTAAACGTGGATAAATATTACTTTCAGGAAAGGCACAGAATAAGCGATCAGAAGAAGGAAAACATAACGTCGCCTACTTACGATTCATTTCAATAACTTCTGGGGCGTTATTGTCTCGCCCCTTTGCGATTCTCCCCCGTTTGGAGACGGCAAAAAAAAAAATGGGAAAAAAAAAAGAAAAAGTCTGTTCCTCCGGCGACGCACGGGGAGGTCACTCTCATCGACGCTCAGTCTCATCGGATGGTCATAAAGTTGTTTCTTTTTTGTCTTTTTTTTTTTTTTTTTTTTTTGCGCAAAGATAAACACCTGGTCAGCTGCGCCGAGGACCAGTGTGGACGTCCGATTCCGCCGATGTCAGGTCTTCAGTGATGCCTGCACTCGCCGGGATTGAGCGCTGAGAGGACGGGGGAGCGCACAGAAAGGCGTCATGTGAGCCGGGGAGAGGTGCGCCATTGGCCAGCCGGGGATAAGTGTGATAAGGCTACTCCGTGCGCCATTGGCCCAGGACGGCAGCGGAGGCGCCTCCTCACTTGGCTGTGCGCAAGAATGTGAGTGCGGCTCAGTGTTCATAATTTTTCAGCATGAGGGGTGGGAGGGGGGGTAGATGTGGTGGTGATGGTGGTGGGGGGGCATAAGTAACAAATTGTTCCAAATATATCTTCTTCTTTTTTTTTGTATTTTGTCATTGACGACAGAAGAAATGCAGGAAATGGATCAAAAAATGTCTGGTGAGTCTTGCGCATCAACTTTGAGGAGACTTTCAACTGGAGTGTGTAAATGCCTTGATGTAAATGAGGCAAAAGAAACAGCAGTGTTGCCATAAAGAATAAACGTTACATTTACAAACCAATTTGGGGACAAACAGGAGGCCGCAACTCATGGAGGTGGCACCTCGTCACCATCTCTCCGAGAGTTTTTCACTGTTTTGTTTTTACCTTTACATTGCACTTGTAATTCTTGTAGCGGTTGTGGTTCGAGGAACTCAACACACACATACATTTTTCTGTGATGTCACACAAAAAGCCTCGTCAATCAGAGGGTAGTATAATCTTTGGCTCATGGAGTTTGATTAGTTGCGTAGTTTTCCTGGACAATTTGCTGGATAATGAACTGATTCAGGTGGATCAGCAGTTGAATTAATAAGATACTTAACACTTCCGACACAAGTGGGGATGAAACGCGACTCGTTTTCGCATGCAAATGACAGAAAAGAACAGGGGAAAAAAAAATAATGCAAGAGATATTTTTAAACATAGAAATGGCACTGCACGTTCTCTCACACTCTCCAACAAAGAAAGTATGATGTTGAACCTTTTTCTAGTGCTTTTCCACTGTAGCTTGGAAGACCTACAGCAACCTTTACAATCAGTTATTTGATCCTAATAAGTTCCCAAGCTAATTCATTAGGAGACTTGGAGCTAAATGAAAGGAAAGGATAGGTGCTGTGCTACCAGCGAGAGCGTCCCTTGATATTCTCGTTTACATGTATAGAAACAAAGGGAGCCTGATATGTTTTACATATTTATGCTGTTCCACCCTCTTCTTTATTTCCACATTGATTTTCTACACAGTTGGACTTCACAGAGGGCAACAAGACATAAAAGAGCATCCTCTCTCTGTCTCTCTCTGGTTCTCTGGAGTGTGGAGACAGAGGAACTCAAGGTTCTGTATGGGTGGGAAATAGAGCGCATGTAATCTGGAGCACGCATCTTCCCCTGCTCAGGCTGCAGCATTAAATCGATATTCCGCAAAGCTTTCTCTTGTTTTCACATTCACTTGACTGCTGCCGTGATGCGCCGCGAGGGTCGAGCAGCCGCTCCCTGATTTTTGTGGCACTTGCACCCCCCCCTCCCCTCCTTCATCCCTCCCTCTTCTTCCTCCTCCACCTCCTCCTTCACTTCACTTCACTTCACTTCACTCCATGGCAGACACCCTCATTTGGATGGCTCTAAGGCGATGCGCCCATTCCATTTGTCTCCTGCGCTAACGGGAGGCGGCAGGAATAAGGCAACGCGTTATCTCAACACAAAAAACATTATCTCCGCCTTTGCTCCTCCAGTACCGTGAAACAATGATTATTAACTGCTCGAGGAGCATGTTCAGGGGTTTTCGAGGCTTGTCGCCACACTTTAAGGAACATGAAGTATATTGCACAACGCACCCCTGGTACGCTAGATTTTTGATTTTTTTTTTTTTTGACTGAGGGTAATGCTTCCCCTTTTCTCGCCACTTGTGAGTACTTTCAGTACTCGCTTGCCTGTCGCCCCGGGGGAGTATGGCTAACGGCATTATGACTGGACGTGTGACAGTAGCATTTTTTACCAGAAACCAACCAAGCACTTCCTTTTCAAGATTTAAAAAGCCTGTCGTGCGGCATCATCCCGGTGTAAGATACTGGTTATGCATTCATACACTCACGCGTTCACTCACACACGTCGTTATGAAAGCAAAACCCTGCCTCTGCAAAATGGGTCATACACTGCAGTCACTTTATCTCAGCAAATGTATTGTGCCTATGTGAGTGGTAGACATGCGCATGTGTGATTACACATCAAAGGCAAGACTCCCATATTAGAGCACGGGCGTCTTTGCTGAAACAGGACTTGAGCGAGTCAAGCCATTGAATGTTTTCGGACGCCGCGAGCTCGTGCGATACAGTTAGCCCGGAGAGCCAAAATGTCAGTCTCTCTTTAATACCTTCAAACAGCCAAGAGGAAGGTGCTCTCGCTCGAAAATAAACTCCGGTGGCGTCATTTTTTATTCTACCGCAGTCCCTTTGCGATGCCTTACACGACAGCAGTTCCAGCCAAACATTTGAACACGTAGGATTTTGCTCCAAAGACAGAAAAAAAAAAGCATTCACCCTTGGTTCATGTTCGAAGATACACTGTCAGGCTAATACACACACACACACACACACACACACACACGTGCAGATATATACCCACTGTGGAATGAATTTGAGCTGTGGGGTTCAAAGCCGTGCCAGTCAAAGAGGGAAGACAGCTCTGTGCCGCCGTCTTATAGACCCATCACTGTGCAAGCTAATCTGCGGCGCGTTCTAGCCCCTATATTTAGACCAATGTTTTGTGAACACTTAGCATAATTCGCTGAGACGAAAGGAGCTTTTCAAAGCCGTTAACCTCATCTCTTTAAAACTCATTTGGAGTTTTTTTTTTCTTTCCCAGCCGTGCATTCCAAAACACCTGTTCTCATCTTTGTTTTGTCCTGTGAATGCTCTCTCCTCCACTTCGGCGAGGAAATAGTTTATTATGAATGGTGGCGCAGTGTGACGGTGAGAAAACGCTGCAAGTGTGTGGAGGTGGTTGAGTCTCTCAGTTGTTCATGAGACAATGGGTATGGTGTGAAAGCAACTCGACTGGGAAAGAAAAAAAACAGTGTGAACTTTGTTGTTGAAGGTGCAGTTATTTTTTCCAATTTGTCTTTGTAGTCAGTCGCTGCTTTCGTCTCCATCGTCACATAATTTAACATCACATCCAAATGATGATGAGAATATTCCAGGGATGACGCTACACCTGGTTGTAATTCAGCCCCATTTATTATAATCCATGAGTACAGCTGATTTCTGTCAGTCTGCTAATGTGTGTCAATGTGTGTGTTCATGTGTGTGTGTGTGTGCCGTTTGCTCTGATCAGGTCCAGGTGGGCCAGTGGGAGTGGGTCATACTAAAAGCCTTTACCTCCATCTGCTGTGTGGCCTGCACGAGCACACACATTTCCACACAAACACACAGATGAGATGGACTGTCTGGTTCAAAAAGCCTGTCCCCTAAGCATTAAACGCTATACGCTTTGGCCGCAGAAACACGGCATACTGGGGGCCTGCATGGCATCTGCCTCCCAGCTCCCGGAGCCAAGGCATGGGGCCGAGGGAGGGGCCTGGGGCCGAGATAAGCTCTTCCTCCCCTGGTCACCGCTACGCCGTGGGGACCGGACAGGCCTGGAGCCTCAGCTGAGCACCGCTGATAATATCCACATGAGTGTACGTGTGTGTGTGTGTGGTTGGATGAATGGGTGTGCGTTGACAAGAGGAGACTCGGTTGTGGTGGTGATGTGTGTGTGTGTGTGTGTGTGCGTGGATGGGGTGGGAGCATGCACGGATGCACACTCTTGCATGTTTGTCCAAATAGTCAAATATCACAGCTAAGACAAAAATGCCCGTCCCCGACGTATTAAAAGTTGTGCAGTTTGGTGCCAAATGCTCACAGAAGTGTGTGCAGATATGTTTCCTCCTGAGGAATGCACTTGCTCTCAGGAAGCAGCACAACAACAACAACAAAAAAAAAAGAACCTCACACAGACAGAAATAAATTGCAATTCTGCAAAATGCCTTTGTAAATTTAATGTGAAACAGAACTTTGACATCTTGATTATTTTCCAACGCAAGTAAATTGAATTGAGTGACAACATGCTAATAGACTCATCTGCGTCATTTCAGTGTTGATGTTGGGAAAAAAATCCCTAAAAAAAACCTGCACAAGAAACAAATGAAATCATCGAATTTGCAGATTCTTTTAAAGAAATGAAATATTAAGAAAGCTAAACCCCTGTTAGACCCTGAAAGACAAAGCGTGTAATAAGTAAAGTACATTACACTCAGACATGAAGCAATGCTGCTTCCACAATGGCGCTCATTGTATTTTTTTTTTCATTCTTTGTAGTTTTTTTTTCTTTCCCCCTCCCTGTACCCTCATTTACGATGTAAGATTAATTGCTGTGCTGCTAACTGCAAATCAATCTGTTCTCGTTCACTCGTCCTAATTCATTGTTTATTTAACATGAGTGTAATCTAGTCCTTTGTCGAATGACAGAAAATGGTCCCTCTTTGTTCAGCCGCACTGACCTTATCATTTTAACTTGTCATATTGGAATACTCATTTACTCATCATGTTAAGAGTCGCCTCACGTAACAAGGCAGTGAGGCAAATTAAATTAATTCTGGGCTACTTTTAATCGTGTTGATGTTTCAAATAACAGTGCATGACAAAAAGGTCTGGATGATGACAGAAACACTAATTGGTAAAGAAAAAAATGGGGATGGAAGGGATAATTCATAATATACTACAAACCAAATCTATCAAATTTAATAATATTGCACAAGATGAGGAGCAGGAGGTGGCCTCGTGTAATATATAATATTTGACAGCCGTTTTGATCACCTAAACTATTTCTTAAATGTGTTGCGGTTCTCATTTTAACCCTAGTTAAGGAGTGCCATATTGATTTGGAGAAGCACATCTGCTAACTAACCATGAAGAATTAAAACCACCGCTCGGGGATCGTCAGCTTTCGCTCTGTGTTTTTGTTTTATCAGTGAAATTTAGCGGTGGATGTCGAGATTCTTTTACATCACAAAACAGGAAGAGGT